TGGCTCGACATGCGAAACCACGGACGATGACCAACTACACGGTACTGGGCGGAGAATGGAAAATGCTAGTGAGGGTATTATTATGCAGATAACGAAGCTCCAGGAAGCTGGTAAATTAAACATATATTTGTATATGATTATGGACGTGCAACTTAATATACAGAATGGACGATTCGTGCAAGCGATCTATTAATAATCTGTTTCCTAAAGAACCGCACTGCGCTATCATCTGCGGGCAAACGGGTTGCGGAAAAACAGCTTTTATTCTAGATTTTTTACAAAGTCATTATCGGGATGTTTTCATCCATATTATTATTCTGTGCCCGACTATAAGCATTAATAAAACATACCTATTGAGAGATTGGGTAATGAATGATCCTGAAGTGTACAAAGTTGATCCGGGCGATCATTTACAAGACTGTTTACGGGTATGTCACGAAAATTACAAAGGAGAATAAACCCTTTTCATAACAGACGACTGCAGTGTGAGTAAAGAACTCACCAAAAAGAAAGATATGCTTTCATATTTAGCTTTCTCCTTTCGGCATATGGAGCATGGTGTTAATGGTGTTATTTATACCAAGCTCGAACGAGATAAAGTCAGAAAACTGTTAGGGGAAACGAAGCATTGTAAACTCGTATTAAAAACCGATCACCTAGCTGCTTATGCAATTGCCTAGCAAAAATATAGCAAAAATAGCAACTGTTAAGCAAAAATATAGCAAAAATAGCAACTGCTAAGCAAAAATATAGCAAAATTTAGCAAATATAGCAATATTATAGCAAATATAGCAAAAATAGCAAAAATATGATAAATTGAACATTAGCGGTTATTATGTAATAATGTGGTTTGAAATCATCATTCTTTCGCAACAGTTTATTATTTCAGGCTGTATTGGATATGCCATATTTTATTATATTAAACTTGAATATCTCCTTAGGTATTACATTATGGAATGTGACAAACTTTTTGAACAAATACTCAAAGAACCTGATCAACATGCAGAAGTAGTTAAAGTTTAGATAAACATAGAGAAAGACTCGCTGCTTTGGTAGCCAGTGGAAAATGTTCCCAATATTTGGGGGAAAATTTTACCATCGAAAAAATTGATAACATGACCGACGAAGAAATTAACTGTATGAGCGTTACGAATCTAGACTGGGAGCTACCATGACTAAAACAATTGGGTCGGCTATGTTACAACTATACACAGTTGTAGCTAGTACGTTTCTCCCTATCCCGGCAGAATATCGCATGTATTTATGCGAATCTCTCAAGAAAGACCCATTCATCGAACACGCTATAAGCGCAGTAAGCTGTTAGTTTTATCATAGACACGGAATGTTCTTAGCGCCACTTTAATAACGGCTAGGTATTGTCAATTTAAACATAAGTGCCCACTTACTAATAATGGAGACTCAAGTGACACCACAGATTGTGGAAACACAATCACAACAAGTGAACGAGGAAATAACCCCGATTGCACAATCACAACAAGTGAATGAGGAAATACCAGCAATTGTGAAATCACAAGCCAGAGTGACAAAGAATCCTTTGAAAAACGCAGCTACTAGGAAGGATGGGCTAGCGAGGAAGGCTAGAAAATTAATGCATAATTCAAATATTGAACATAGTCGTCCGATTAAAACTTGAGCTCCCTATGCACTAGGAACTGATGTTGCTATAGTGGTGGTATGGTTGTTTTGAAAGACCAGGGAAGAGAAAACGTCACCCCCGATTACACAACAAGAAGTTCAAGTAGAGGTAAGCCCCCATATAATGTTATAAAAGCATGACTACTCCAGTTACAGACGGTAAAATGTTGGTAACGCAACGTATCATTCAGCGGTGGTCAGCGGCTTGGCCATTGGCTATGCCCGTATGGCTAAAATGATTACTAAAGCCACACCACCCAAACTAGATTTTAATGGTTATGATATCGGTATGATGTTTCTTGATATTGGATTGGCAATGGCTACAAAAGATATGCTAATCAAACAAATTGAACATTTGAATATGGCAACAATTGCGATGATGGTTGGTGGAGCTATTGTTAATGCTCTAGCTTTTTCGGGGAGTAATTATTTATTTTTCTACTCTCAGGGAATCAAACGTTAAAGAAGTTGAAAAGGAGCGTAAACGACAGAATAAAGCATTAGAACAACTCGAAGCAGCCCAGTCACAATGGACCAGAAATAGGATATTAAGATTAGATTTTATTCATGAAGAACTGCGTAAGGAAGGACATTCAATTCAAACATTTAAGGATGTTGAATCTGCCATGCACGAATACTTCCTTGTTTATGGAAAGAAACTTGACCCAATACAGAGACCAACAATAAGTCAGTTTTATACACCATCAGAGGCTCATAAAGACCGCGAGATAGTATTTATAATGTTTGGGTTATCGGTCATTGCTATTTTTAGCTACACAATGACTACGCATAAACAATGATCCATGTATAGATATAGATGATTGGTCTAGATTCGATGAAACTAAATTACCACCCCTTGAATCATTCTATAGTAACTTAACAGAATCTAAAATAACCGATGTCGATTATGAACACGTTCTGACGGTCTGGGAAAAATTAGGTTGTAAGAATTTAGGTGATTATCACGATCTGTACTTAAAAACCGATGAACTGTTACTCACCGATATATTCGAGATATTTAGAAAGATATGTTTAAAACAATACGGATTGGACCCGGCATGGTACTATTCCAGTCCCGGACTATCGTGGGATGCATTGTTGATGAAGACCGGTGTAGGACTAAAACTTCTCACCGATTACGATATGCACTTGTTTATTGAGAAAGGATTAAGAGGTGGTATATCTATGGCGGCTAAAAGGTATTCTAAGGCTAATAATAAATTAGTGGAAGGATACGATCCGAGTAAACCCAACACGCACATATTATATCTCGACGCCAACAATTTGTACGGATGGGCTAAGTGTCAACCTTTACCCACGGGTGGTTTTGAGTGGGTCGATGTGAATGATATCGAAGTGAATGATATCGAAGTGAAATATATCCCCACAGATTCCGATAAAGGGTACATACTAGAAGTTGACTTGGAATATCCAAATTCGTTACATAAAGATCATAACAGTTATCCGCTAGCTCCCGAGAGATTAATGGTAAATATAGATTGGATGTTGGAATATCAACACTCCTTGATGGGTAATACTAGCTTAGCTAACGTAGAAAAATTTGATGGATAAGACAAAATATATAGTTCACTACAGAAATCTCCAGTTATATCTATCGTTAGGTATGAAACTAAAGAAAATACACAGAGTTCTAAAGTTTGATTAAAGCCCTTGGATGGAGTCCTATATAAGGCTGAACACAGATTTAAGAAAGATAGCTACCAGCGATTTCGAAAAGAACCTATATAAGCTCATGAATAACTCAGTATTGGTAAAACTATGGAAGGAAGCGTGTTGATGTTAAATTAGTCAGGTCTAATGAGGAAGAAAGACTTATAGCCAGTCCCGCTTTTAACAGAAGCAAGATGTTTGATAACGACTTAGCCGCGTTGCATATGCAGAAGAGTAATATAAAATTCAACAGATCAGTGTACTTTGGTATGAGTATTCTTGACTTGTCAAAACACTTAATGTATGACTTTTATTACAACGAACTTAAGAAGCAGTACGGCGATAGATGCGAGGTGTTATATACCGACACAGATTCTTTGTTGATGGAAATACAAACCGAGGATGTGTATAAGGATATGGCAGAAAAAATAGATATGTACGACACGAGCGATTACCCAAAAGATAATCCACTGCACAGCGTAGTAAATACAAAGGTGTTGGGTAAGATGAAGGATGAATTTGCTGGGACTCCTTTTGTGGAGTATGTCGGATTAAGACCTAAGATGTATTCTATAAAGAAGTCTGATAATGGAGAGATAAGAAAAGCTAAGGGTGTTAAGAAGTATGTGGTAAAAAAACATATCAAACACGAACAGTCAAATGTAAGTCAAATGACATCTCGGCTTTCGTCGTCTCAATTTCCTCGGTCCGGCGACGATGTTTAATGCAAAAATATAAGCATGAAAAATCTTTGTCACAGCTCGTAACCTGGCACGATACATCTATGAAGTTCCATATTTTTAATATAGATCGCAAATTCCTGCTTAAAACGTTCAGAATAACACGATTTAACAAAAGTCTTTCGTCAAATTCTGAAATTTATCAGACCATAGATGTAATTTGATTGGCCGACTTTGGTCACGTGCTCAGATTTGACCAGTCACGAAACTTGTAGCAGATTTTGGCAAAGACAGAGTCATTAGAAACCAATTTTATCGAAGCTTTCTAGCGATGTGTCACATGGCAGTCTTCGACGACCGTGTTATTCGAAAACGGAGGTATCTCTTCATGTTATTGAACGAACAGCCGCTGTTATCGGGAAATGGGTGATGGCAGATACCAGATCTAATTACAATTCTTTTTAAAATATTTTTCCAATTGCGTTTTTTATGAAATCTTATAGATTCTGTTTGCGAAAATCGTCAATTTTGCGCTTCCTTGGTCCTTAATCTGGACGTTATGAATGTGTTAGCTTACAATTTCCTTATTTACAACGAACATAATTAAGTTGTAAATGCATTATCTAAATAATGTGATAAACATAACCTATTTTATAAACAATAGGATTGGAACTTGAAATGGTGTATAATATGTGGTAGCAAAGATGTTTTACAAACATGCAGACATTTTCTTTGATAAATGTTTTATGAGTGTAATTCAATTAGGCCTACTTTGTTATCTGAATGTCATAACATGCATAATCAGGCATTATTTATATGCCGCATAAATCATGATCATGCAATCTTGTGATATATATTTTGAAGTTTTGAGTTGAGAAAAAATAATTGCTTGTTGATTTTTTATTTTGCTTGTAACTTAAATTTGCTTGTGCCTAAAAAAAATAAATTCTAACCCTGCTACTACTGAGGAAGGAAAAGGAACCAAAATATTACCTGCAGTATGCACATGCCATATGTGTTGCCGAGGATTTTATGTGTCTCATTATAGTAACAATAACGGATGTTGGTTGCTGCAATAAACAACTCAAATGGATCATCTTCTTTCACATCTAACTTGCCAGACTTTATTTTCTTCTGCAGTTGACGCATTCTCTTCTTGCGATGACTGAAACAAACATACTATATATGGGCAAAATATGCATGTCAATTAGAATCAACAAGATCAACCATTATTACATTATCTCTCCAAATGACTCTTTGCTTATTACACTAACCAGGTTGACATTCATGGAGGTCCATTCACATGGTACCACTTTGGATCAAGAGAATAATTAACAAGCTCAGCTTATCTTTCACGAGGGAAATAAAGTCACATGATGTCTGCTGTCTAACAGTCTCTTCAAATCATTGCATCTAGTCACCTCAAGAGGACATAAATTTGGATAAATTTCATGATTTATTCAAAATTATGATAACTTCACTGGAACTAACATAATATTTGCCGACATTATCACTTGTGACATCATCAAATGTTTTAAAACCATACATGAGACATTCACTTTTCGATTTTTTGACGTCACTACTGGTTTTTAAGTTGTCATTTCCATTTCTGATGATGTCACTTCCAGTATTAGAGTCATCACTAACAGTCTTGACAACGTCATTTCTGGATATGTCGTCCTTTCCCATTTTGTCGACGTCACTTCCAGTCATGATGTCACATCCGGTGACGTACAAAACGGTACATCAACACCACATCTTATAATGTACCGTATATCACTGTGTACAAGGCATGTTATTTGTACCTTGAATTAGGGGGCTTTCAAAGGGGGGTCATCTTATACACAGAGTTGAAGAGTTTTGGTGTTTTTTTCCCCAACACAAAGACATTACTGTGAGCACGTAACACCGGAAATACCATGTCAACAAATCTGTACTGAAGTAAAACTAAACATGTAATTACACTGTCTGGGTATAAAAAGAGTTCATTATATTTCTGGACTTGTGTTTATAATCTATTTTATTAATTTTATTCAAAATTTCATCCAATATTGTAAATATTCATTTCGGCGAAATTGTATGTGAAGTGATTGGAAGATCACACAACTCACCGTTATTTACAGCAACCACATTCATACTACCGCTATTGACGCCTTGAAACAAACTATAGTGGATAGAGAATTGATATATATATATATATATATCCATCTGAAAGTCATATTTGTTCATTATCATGAGCCAAGCGACTTGACGGTGATTGGTCAAATTGTTCCATACAAAAAAATATCTGGCAATAGCAATCAACTGTACCAAAGTGTTACACTTATGGTTATTAATATATTTCAAATATATATATAGTAAATACTACTCAAATAACATGATATTGGAATAAATTATTCCTGATAAAATAATAGTTTCAGATACAATTCTTCCGATCTTTGCATCAAAATTCTTTACAGTTATATTATTGGGTAATTTTTAACCGAATCACCGGTAGTTTCCAAGAAACATGTGCACAGCTGATTGTTGCTTCCCGCTTGGTTTAAAAAAATGCACTGGGTAATCTTAATCTCTGCATATAAAACAATGCCTGTCAGAACAGGAAATACAATTTAATGGCAAACACCGATATACTAATCCGCCCTGTGGCGCGTCGGAATTTCCGTCCCGGAAGTGTTGTTAATGTAAACATGTCGCACTACAGCGGTTTAACAGTTGAGAAGCTGAAGATGCCGTGGGGCAACTACACGCGGGAAGAAGATCGATTTGATTGAAAGGTAATTGTACAAGAGACTTGCCAATTCTGTGTCAGTTTGCTTTGAATCTTCAAACAGTCTTTGTTTTGTTCCACTACGACTCGAGATTACCGCGGGAAATCCGAACTGAATGAAAATTGTTGTTATCGATAAACGAAACGTCAGGGGTGTGCAAATTTCATTTTATTGAATGAAAACCCGTGCATGTTGGTGAAATTGTAAATAAAGCATGCGTAAATATCTTTTACCCATTATGCTATGTCAGTCGTCTACAGAGGATGAACTGGGGCTATAATGACTACATGTATGCAAAAGCAGAGACCATATACCGGCATATGGTCTCTGGTAAAGCCAGTGGTGTATGCATTGACTCAATGCATCAGACTAAAATATATCAAAATAAATAGTACCGTATATATTAACCTTTTGATATTTTAATTAATATCTCGAGTAAAAAAAATGAGAAGAAATCTTTAGTTAGGATTTCTTAGCACAGCTAAGGTATCACAAGTACCATATGAAACTGCATGGGTAAAGTTTTTTTTACAATCTACAGTCCTGGCAAAATAACCCTCATTCAAGTTATTTAGGGCATTGTCTATTGTTCTTATTTCTGGGGTTTGACATGACCTGTGACATTTTCATTCTAAATCTAAGATAAAATTGCAGTACTTTGAAAATAGAAATACCTTCTTGCATGACTTCTGTTCCAAGGGTCTGGTTGCACAAAATATTTTGGAGCACCTTTAGAATACAGTACCACAACTTCTCGTGAAGACAAGCAACCAGTTTTTGTGAGAATCCGTCGGACGCGAACCTGCGACCTACGGATTGTTAGCCCGAGAGCTAACCGACTGAGCTACGTCCACACTGTTAAACTTAGTGCAAATTTACCTAGTCATGCCTACAACGTTATGGAACTGAACGAAAAGGGTCGAATAGGTGACGGACACTTACGAAAGTTACGGGTAGGCATGGTGTCTCGTGACTTTAGTCTACGGACACTTACGAATGATCCCGATGCCATTTGGCACACTCGTCCCATTCCGTAATGTACAAGATACCAAGTGGAGAGGAATGAGCCGATATGCCGCGAACTGAAAACGGCACTAGGTGTCAGACGTCGAACCCTCTAGTACACATGAATGATATGGAATTTAATAATTCGTCGGGTGATTTTTGTGACAGAAAAGTGTGGTAGGGAACACTGTAAGTATGATGTGGATAATAGTAAGGAAAGAGGGAGGAATAAGCATGACTAGTGACGACACAACGGTGAGTTCGCTTTTGAATCAGTACTGAAAAAATGTGGCCGGCGAAAGTGGCTTGTGTGAATGTTCCAGGACAGTTTCCAGTTGCCAAAATATTCGACACAAAACCATTTCATCCTTTTTACTCGACGTTTTTGTATGAAGAATATTAGGAGCTGTTATATAATCTATAATAGCCACTAAACGAGTACCTAACCCTAATGATCGTAAAGGGGTGATTGATCGTAAAGGGGATCCAAGGGCTAAGGATAGACTTCGGGTAATCTAATAGCCACTAAACGGGTACCTAACCCTAATGATCGTAAAGGGGTGATTTATCGTAAAGGGGATCCAAGGGCTAAGGATAGAGTTTGGGGTAACCTACCCTAACACTGGCGACATTTGGATGTGTTCAGCGCCAATATAATATCCCTAATAAACTGCATTCTTGCGCATAATAATGAAAATTAATGAACCGAAAAAATAATATATGTATATTAGTTCCCATTTATAACCATTTTATCCACTTGAATTACGAGAAAAACGAAATAAAAATATATAAAAAATAAAAGTGCTTTCGTAAACTAGCGCTTCCTATAAAATGCGCTGCCGCAGGCTATAATTAGTAAACAAATACTCAAACCTCTCAACACCGCAGGGCGTATTCAATGACATTACTTGTAGAGATGACAGCTCACTGGGAGGAGCTTCTGCACACTCGATGACCCCTGACGTCACAGGGCATTGTTTCGCCGGTGTGACTGGCAACAAAATACTACAAATTACGTCATAGGGTATGATCACGTGTTTGAAAAGTTTGTGGTACTGTATTCTAAAGGTAGGCCAATATTTTTATTAATAGTAATGAAGAGGTAAGTGTGCAATATATTTCTATGCGTTACTCAAATTTATTGAAATTATTACCAATAGTAACACTAACATTAACAGATGTGTTTGATAATACATATTCTGTGAAACATACATGAGAAATCTTTTCAATAAATGAGATACTGAAATTAGCAAAATGAAATTATTTCCTTTCAGACTGGAGATTTGAAGTCTATTGAGAAGAGACATCAACTTTTGAATTCCAATCATGTCCTGGCTTGCAGTGTTGTCATTGATCACCATGCCTACTTCAGTGGTCTAGTCAGTGCTGCTATGAAGAAAAAGGTTTGTTACCTTAGAAACAGATTGGTCATAAGTTCCATACTCAACCACACATTGAATCGTCAGTGATTAATGATTTTAAATTAGTGAGTAATCATTTACAGTTTTGCCATTCATGATTGTACATTTAGGTCTGTAATAAGAAATATCTCACCTTTGTGTAAATAATGTGTCAGTTATACCAAACATAAAGAGGTGGTCACTTGCAGGAATAATACATTATATGTTATCATGATGATACTTAGATAACTCTGCATTACAAGTTTTGATTTCCTTGACTTAGGTATCTTACAGTCTTTGCATCATAATAGCAGAATGTGGTGAAGTGGTGAACACACACGGTGAGTGCCCAGCTGGTAAAGGCCCCCATGGAACCTGCAAACACCTCGCTTCCGTCCTCCTCATGTTGTCTCAGTTCAAGTCTACAGGTGTGATTGCTGTGAGGCGATCCTGCACAGACAGACTGCAGACATTCCACAGGCCACAAAAGGAATATTCAGGTACCTTACCATGTTTACTGTGTAGTACATATATTGGTATTCAAAGTGCTTATACAGCATGTTAGAATGAATTAATTATCAAGTTTTTTTGTGTCAATTGTTTTCTTAAAAAGAGAAAGTTTTTATTCGTTTGAAAAAATAGATATTCAATTCAGCTGCACACATTAAAATAAATTAAGTACCCCTTGGTTATATTTTCATATTTATTAGAATTAAATATACAGAGTGATTAATTATTTCATGACATATGAAACTGATCTTTCTGCTAATGTATTCAGTAGGCATTGATCGTATAGCTTAGACGTAACTACTTAAAAGCCTCACAAGCTATTTCTGCAGAGTGTGATCACCCTTTCAGTTGTTTCCCCCGTAACAGGTTTGGCGTATACCCCAAATTATACATTGTCTGAAATTATGACAATTTCACTTCCTGTATCTATCAAAGAGAAAATACTGCTTATTGGCTGTTTCTACATTCAAATATTATATACTGAAGTATCCCAGTATCAGTAATATATTTTCAGCCAAAAACTTATTCTTTTTTTCCCCCCTCTGAATAATAGATTCACCGAAGAAAGCAGACTCATTCAAGTGTGGGGCGAAGCGACCAACCATGTTTGATGACCCAAGACCGGCAAAATACAGAAATAGTGCATCTTACAGGGACCATGTCAGAACATCACCATCAACTACTGCTCTTCAACGTCTAAGGATATCACGATCAGATACCTGTTTGAAAGAGCCAGTCTGTCATCTGCAGTAAGAGATCATGACTATTTGGACAAGCCCTTCACAGGATACTGGGTGGAGAGAGCCTTGAAGGTATTTTACACTCATGTTTTCCGTAATTGTAGCTGAAGAAATCTTCAATCCTGAGATCTATGTATTCTCACAAATCACTAAATTAAGTTATTATATTTTAGGATTTCAATAGCTACTGCTTATTGCATTCAAATAAATAATTCACTTTTTTCTATAAAAAAAATGCCTACTATTATTCATTACATGGTTAGTTCATTTTTTACTGCAGAAGACACAATATCTTCAGACATTGCAGTGTAGTAGTTGATGGTTAGGTTGAATCAGATGCAAATGGATTTTTTCTGGTCCCTTGGAGCTAGATACGACATGGTTAAACTGCTTTAGCCATGTTATCTGATTGAATTGTTTTGTTCTGATTTGTAAAGGAGTTTCAAGAATTTTATTGATAAGTTTTTGTGTGATATAAAGAAATTTTATTCTGTCTATCTTTGACAGATTACAGATGACCAGGCTGCAGACTTAGAGTCAAAGACAAGAAAGCAGGCCAAGTGTAGCTTGTGGCATGAAGAGAGGAGATGGAGGTTGACAGCATCTCAGTTTGGGACAATTTGCAAATGCACTACAAGGAGAAACAAAACTAAACTCTGTGAGGCATGGGTTACAGCAGGAACCCAAAGCTATTGCCAAACTTGAGATAGCCTGTAATGTTCATGTTCACAGTTGTGGAATGTTTGTTGACTCTGAACTCCCTTTCCTTGCAGCAACCCCAGACGGTGTCATTGATTCTAACACCATTGTTGAGGTTAAATGTCCTTACAGTCATTGCTCCTGGGAAACTCTTTCCTTATCTTTGTTAGAGAAATGGCTCATGCAACTGAGAGAAAACAGTAATTACTACTTTTAGGTGCAGGGTCAAATGTATCTATCAAAGCGAAAATACTGCTTATTTGCTGTTTCTACGTTCAAAGACTTCTTTGTTCAGAAAATATCACTCGATGAGGAATACTGTACAGGAAGTTTGATTCCCAGACTGTCATTATTCTTTGAGTCTTTCCTCAAGCCTTACATTGCTACTCACTGCATTTGTTAAGATTCACAAACAGACATCCTTTTGTTGATTAATACATCCATGTGAAGACTGTATCTAAAAAGTACTAAGTGTCTTATCAAACTTACTTTTGCCTCACTTTTCAAAAATTATTTGAAATCAGTGACTTTTCACAGTTAAGGAATAAAAGTTTGTTTTTTTTCAACTATTGAAATCTGGTGATGAGAATGATACAAATAAGTACCGGTAGGTATATCCCTGATTGACACCATGTGTAAAGTACTTACTTCTATTCTTAGCTGTATACTACAGCAGTTTGATGAAGATTATAACATAATTGACAAGGCACAGGCTGTATTCAGACCCAACTAGTCCACCATATATATATACATGCACAAAGAAAAACATATACTACTGTCTTTTTGTGTACTTTTCTGAAGCTTTTGACACTGTTTGATTCTTTTATATGACTTGTATCACTTGTAAGTACATTGGAATAAGGGGTAGGCCTAATGGAAAAACTGTAGGCTCAATGGAAAAACTCTAGGCCCAAACATTTTAGCTGAAGCCGTGAGATATACTCTTGCAATATAAAATTACAAAATACAACCAGTCATCCAGAAGCTATGACTGCTATCACACCGAGTTCCCAGAGACTCAGTGGTGATAGATGGTGATACATTTATCAAGGAAATTATCAGCTTGTAAAACATCTTTGAAAAAATCTGTCATCCATGGGTATATGGACCGATGTCTATTTCGAACACTGACCTTGGGAATGTGGTGGAGCTCCTTTGCAATGAAATTACATGACTGAATGTCTGTCTGACAACCGTGTGATGGTGCTGTACTATTGCATTCATTGTTAAAGTGGTAAGAGAGAGATCCTAAGCACAGATCAACAAACAAATGTGAGACATTCAATGGTATTTTTTCATTATATAATATCATGGGTACAGTCTTATGTACATATATATTCATCATTTCAATTGTTAAAACACAATAAAGTTGTTATATTTGAACATTTCTCACACATTCCAGTTGTACTTTCAAGTTCAAGTTTGTATTCAGAATTCAGCCCAAAGTACGGTCACCGTACATGTTTGTCGCTAAATATTGATCCACAATCTATAAACATTTCTACATAAATATGCTTACTTTATGTGCATAATCAACAAACATCCTTGTACTATAAAAGTACATAGTATATATGTTAATCAATGGAACTCGCTGAAGTATCCCTCTTTCACCAGACTCAGACACACTGCATAAATAGTCCTTTTGATAAGATGCTTGTCAGATTATCCATGGTAACAGATTGCAGCTCATGTCTTCATGTCATATGTACGACTGACTGTTTACACAAATTGCCCGTGTTATTTTGCTTTTGATTTAATGACTGGTACAACATGCTTTGAAACATCTACAACTTGGCATATACATGGACAACAGTTTTAACCAGTATTTTATCACATGATGTTACATGGATGGGATGTCAACCCAGTTCACCACAAACAACTGCTTTATTTGTACTTGTGTTAACAGACAATGTTCTCATGTGTACACTTTAAACGGTCTGAACTTGTGAATAACCCCACATACCTGGTCCATAACCAATGACTGGCACAATCATTCTGTCAACAATAAACACAACTCTTAAAGATATGTTTGCATTATATATAAATGTGAGCAAAATATTCATGGCTTTTCAGGTTGTTGTGCTAATGTATTTCTAACCAAACCCCATGAAGACTTTGGGGTGTCAAATATCCACACTGGTATGCTGATACAATTTAAAGTATTTCACCTTTGAACCACCATTTTTCAATTTGTTTGAAAAGTCCTCCTCTGCAAAATACAATCATAATTGTTTCATCTAAATTTACATTCATAACATATTTGCCACAAAAGCTTGCTACATCTGATTTCTGCAATTTGACAATAGCGTCACTTGCATTCACAATGCCATCAGTAAACATCAATGTGCTAATTTTATCAACTAATTCATTCACAAACATACCTTTGCAGTTTCCTGATTGTATTAGTTGAACAAGATCATTAAGGAACAGAGTAAACAGTAATCATACAGCAGTGAGCCGTGTCTAATACCCACCATACAGTTACAGTAGACAATCACACCTGTCTACTAGTAGTAAACTGTTGTACTTTCAATGCTATGAACAGACAACACTAGGTCATACAAACATACATGAATGTGTGAAGTATGTTTAGAATGGACATTTATTCATGCAAGTCGGTTGACAATGCTTGGGCGAAAGTTTGACAACATATAGCAAATTCGAACAATTCTAGAGCCTAGTGGAACTTTTGATGGATGAAGCTCCCTCTTAAGAATTTTGTAAGTTTTGCCAAGTCCAATGACATGCTCAATATGAATTCACTTGGATGATACTCTACAGTCGTGGACTACCTCTTTGGGGTTCAAGCTGACTTCGACCCTTGAGCATTGTCGGAGTGTTGACTTTTACATCTGAAGATGAAAATATGTCCTGCACCATAATGCCTCTGTCCGCCATAATACTGTCTCCTGCACAAAACACACCTGGCATGCACAAATCTGACCTCTCAATAATCTGCCTGTCACTTGTTGATCCACCATAACTGTCACTGACATAGGTAACAAGACCTCGAGGAGAACAACCAATCATAGTTTTCAGAGTGTTCCTGTTCTTGTACCTTGAGAAAGTGGCCCTCTGGTAATCTACATTGGCTGGCTTACAAATCGGGGTCTCAGTTGCATCTAGAATGACCCTTGTTGATGGGAAGCGCTCCTTGAAATTTTCTGGCATTGTATCTTGAATGGTGTCATGTCATGCCCATATGTTTAGCTCAGTCAGTTGGAAGTACAAAAAGTTTGTCCATGTGAGAATTAATGTTGATACAGTACTTTCACTGATATGAAACAACATGGAAAGGTCAAAATCATATCTTGCCTGTCTGAATTTTTACAAAGTCATAAAAAGCTGATCTTCTGGTGGTATCAAAGAACACTGATATGAAACATGATTGACAGAGGAGCCAAGTACATATAAGAAATACATAAAATGATCATAATTGTCAAAACCAGTGTAATATAAAACTGCTTTGTCATTATCAGTTATGTGATGAATCGAGAATCTGGAGCTCGATTCCGACAACAAGCTGCACTGTATGGCCACATCTTCTGTATGATCAACAGCATCTGACTGACAAATAATTTCAATGCATCCTGGTTAACAAATTTCAACCTCACTTCCCAGATCAGGAAAATCTTCAACATCTATAACATAGTGTCTAGGTTTCCTTGGTTCATTCACTTTCTTAAAGAAGAACACTGTTGGTATTGCACCCCTCTTCAATCGTCTTTTCTTTCCTGAAAATAAAATATATAGAATTATTTCAAAATATCATCAATTAAGGTTTTATCGTAATAAGGAATTTAGTTATTGTTCACATAATAACAATAAACATGGTAAATTCATTAACAAATATTATCAATGAGGACATAAGCAAATTATTCCAAAACATTGAGCAAAAAAAGTGAAAAAAGGTGTTTATTTTAGTCGGGACAAATTTATGGGAAAGAAATCTAAGCTAGAACATCTATTATCATTAAGATAACTTCATTTAATAGTATAGAACTCTATAATAGTAATAGAACTATATTTGGTCTACTCCTAAATAGATCGAACATCAACTTCAACAGTTTTTGCATATAAGCCTACTCAAGACTGGCATAACTTCAGGGTGGGAATAATTTAAAAATTATGTAAAAAAGAATTGACTGAAAGTCAGTCATTGCAATACATATAATTAATATTAGGACAAAATATTATTTATTTCAGTAAAATGCGGCACACAGGACGACTGGCATATATTTTTCTGCCAATATTTGGGTGAGCCCAATATTGTGCACCCAGATAAAAAAATATATACCGTGACTAATACACTATATTCATGATTGATTTACATATCAAAATTACTGAATATTGTATTACATTTGGTGGATCACCAATACCAGTCTTGTGAGGTACAGGACAATAATAACATCAGTCCGTTAATTCGGTTACTAACTTCGTTGCTAATGACGCTTACCGGTGTCCGATGGCTTGTAGTCGCTGTCAAGGAAGTGATTACGACAAACCACTGAGTATGGACTTGGTTTCCAGAATTTCTTGGATGCCGGGTCCTCTCTTCTTATCGCCACACGCCATTTCATGCAAATATCCGGATCTTGAGGAAAACCGTGGCCGCCAGAACGACTGTCACATTGCGGTACTCAACAGCGCGAAGGCATTTTGTATGTAAACAGTAGCATACGGAGCTAGCAACAAGGACGGAAATTCTGCAGCGCCCCCTGGGCCGCTGTTTCGTACCAGTGTTTGCCATTGATAAATCATTATGTCTTGTGTCTTTTTATCTCAAATTACAGCATTCAACATATGATCTCCCCAACTGAGAGTAGACCATAATGATGAAATGGTTTACCTGCCATCCAAAGCTGGGGCTGCCAGCGTGAATCGCATACACTCCCAGGAGGCAGTCTACAACCCGTTGAATGTCACACAAGGACAACACTAGAGAACATGTTGTGGGACTTGCACTGGCAGCTGGACACCAAGTGACAGCGCACTGATTGTCTTACTGGGCATAGGAGTCAATCAGGATGATCCACTATCTCACTAACAGGTATGGAGTAACGTATGTCGCGTATACACTTGCTGGATCTTGGCCACAAACTTCAGGAGACATTTGATCATTTTTCAGCTCCAATCGTCTTCATGAAGGAGGACCAAACAGTCCAGTTTATGTATGCATACTCTAGCTGCTGTAGCCATTGCTAGCAGAAAGGTCATCTTTCTAGATAACTGAAGAAGGAATGCCTGTGCTAATGGTTATCAATCAATGCAGACAATACCATGGATAAGATCCACCACAATCAGCTGCAGGTTGGAAGTTTGTCATATATCTTGCAAACTCATCATTTTAGCAGAAAGCTTATCCTATCAGGGGATTACTAATACAGTACAGTCTTTCCATGGATTTGGGAAACACTTCACATGGTTGCGGTCGTCACGTTACGACAAGATTCCATTGTACATTACGCCGGGTATCGGACCTCCAATCTCTCTGAGTGAACGCATAATCCAGGAACACAAAGTTCATTCACCTGATGAAGGAGTAAGCATATACTCCAAAACGTTGTGTTCCTATATAATAAAGAAGTTGACATCCATACAGTTTCTTCCTTCTGTGTATCACTTCTAAATGCCATTCAAAAACAGCTAGAACCTGGTTTGATAAAAAAAAAAATTATAATAATTGTTGAGCATTTACTCACTATTGCCACATTTAATGCTAATTACATTTGTGATGTTCTCCTTCATTTGTATGTGTGGTTATCATTGAACTGAGACCTTATGGAATAATAACGCATTATCTTATCTTAAGTTTTCATCTGGTAGCACTGGAACTGCATACACACAGGAAATGACTTTTCTTGTCTTGAAAGAGAGCTTTGGACAAGGGCATAATGAAAACCAGAGTCACAGGATGAATATAGACACCAATATCAGTATGCTACCGTCATGCAGAACATTTCTACTCCAGTATTGGGTGCATCTACAGCTCACAAGAACAGATCTCTGTCAGCCCACTTAGCGCCATGGATCTCAGTTTTAGTGGAACAAGCAGTTTCCAGCTGCCAGTGGAAGTCGGCCAACATTTTCACTAGATTCTACCTGCTCAACATTCAACCAGTCGTAGACTGACTATACTTTCTGGGATATATAGTAGCTGAAGTCAGTACTCTCTCAGTTGTCCAAGTTGGGTTGCAAATAATTCCATAAGCCCCAACTTTGGTAGGCAGGCGATTCATTTCATCAGTTTGGTCGACTGTCAGTAGGGCAGATTACTGTCAGTAGACTGTCAGTAGACTGTCAGTAGAATCACATTATAACATCTAGAGTTATACCGTTCGACGGATGCGACGTCATGACTGGAAGTGATATCAGAACAGGAAATGACTTCAAGACCAGAAGTCATGTTGACAGAACAAGAAGGGCTGGAAATGACATCTTCAAGACTGTAAGTGATGACACTGATACTGGAAATGACATCTTCAAGACCGTAAGTGATGACACTGATATGGGAAATGACATCTTCAAGACTGTAAGTGATGACACTGATACGGGAAATGACATCTTTAAGACTAAGTGATGACACTGATACGGGAAATGACATCTTCAAGACTGTAAGTGATGACACTGATACTGGAAATGACATCTTCAAGACTGTAAGTGATGACACTGATACTGGACATGACATCTTCAATACTGTAAGTGATGACACTGATACTGGAAATGACATCTTCAAGACTGTAAGTGATGACACTGATACGGGAAATGACATCTTCAAGACTGTAAGTGATGACACTGATAAGGGAAATGACATCTTCAAGACTGTAAGTGATGACACTGATACTGGAAATGACATCTTCAAGACTGTAAGTGATGACACTGATACTGGACATGACATCTTCAATACTGTAAGTGATGACACTGATACTGGAAATGACATCTTCAAGACTGTAAGTGATGACACTGATACTGGAAATGACATCTTCAAGACTGTAAGTGATGACACTGATAAGGGAAATGACATCTTCAAGACTGTAAGTGATGACACTGATACGGGAAATGACATCTTCAAGACTGTAAGTGATGACACTGATACTGGAAATGACATCTTCAAGATTGTAAGTGATGACACTGATACGGGAAATGACATCTTCAAGACTGTAAGTGATGACACTGATAAGGGAAATGACATCTTCAAGACTGTAAGTGATGACACTGATACGGGAAATGACATCTTCAAGACTGTAAGTGATGACACTGATACGGGAAATGACATCTTCAAGACTGTAAGTGATGACACTGATACTGGAAATGACATCTTCAAGACTGTAAGTGATGACACTGATACTGGACATGACATCTTCAATACTGTAAGTGATGACACTGATACTGGAAATGACATCTTCAAGACCGTAAGTGATGACACTGATACGGGAAATGACATCTTCAAGACTGTAAGTGATGACACTGATACGGGAAATGACATCTTCAAGACCGTAAGTGATGACACTGATACGGGAAATGACATCTTCAAGACTGTAAGTGATGACACTGATACTGGAAATGACATCTTCAAGACTGTAAGTGATGACACTGATACGGGAAATGACATCTTCAAGACTGTAAGTGATGACACTGATACGGGTAATGACATCTTCAAGACTGTAGGTGATGACACTGATACGGGAAATGACATCTTCAAGACTGTAAGTGATGACACTGATACTGGAAATGACATCTTCAAGACCGTAAGTGATGACACTGATACGGGAAATGACATCTTCAAGACTGTAAGTGATGACACTGATACTGGAAATGACATCTTCAAGACTGTAAGTGATGACACTGATACGGGTAATGACATCTTCAAGACTGTAGGTGATGACACTGATACGGGAAATGACATCTTCAAGACTGTAAGTGATGACACTGATACGGGAAATGACATCTTCAAGACAGTAAGTGATGACACTGATACTGGAAATGACATCTTCAAGACTGTAAGTGATGACACTGATACTGGACATGACATCTTCAATACTGTAAGTGATGACACTGATACTGGAAATGACATCTTCAAGACTGTAAGTGATGACACTGATACGGGAAATGACATCTTCAAGACTGTAAGTGATGACACTGATACGGGAAATGACATCTTCAAGACCGTAAGTGATGACACTGATACGGGAAATGACATCTTCAAGACTGTAAGTGATGACACTGATACTGGAAATGACATCTTTAAGACTGTAAGTGATGACACTGATAAGGGAAATGACATCTTCAAGACTAAGTGATGACACTGATACGGGAAATGACATCTTCAAGACTGTAAGTGATGACACTGATACGGGAAATGACATCTTCAAGACTGTAAGTGATGACACTGATACTGGAAATGACATCTTTAAGACTAAGTGATGACACTGATACGGGAAATGACATCTTCAAGACTGTAAGTGATGACACTGATACTGGAAATAGGTCCTCAGCAACCCATGCTTGCCGTAAAAGGCGACTATGCTTGTTGTAAAAGGCGACTAACGAGATCGGGTGGTCAGGCTCGCTGACTTGATTGATGCATGTCATCGATCCCAATTGTGTGGATCGATGCTCATGATATCAATCACTGGATTGTCTGGACCAGACTCGATTATTTTACAGACCGCCGTCATATAGCTGGAATATTGCTGAGTGCGGCGTTAAACAACAAACAAACAAACAACATCTTCAAGACTGTAAGTGATGAGACTGATACTGGAAATGACAACTTAAAAAATGGTAGTGACATCAATTGATTACCAAACTGAAATGCAAAGGCTTGACTTTTGACAAGCGACTGAGAACAGAAGTACTGGACAGGCAAGGTTTATGTATCATGCCAACTTTCAACTTTTTCTCTTCAGAATCTTCTATGATCATTTAAAGCAAGTCTTATGGCCATGACCAGCATTCTTTTATATGTAACTGCCATCAGGAATTTTTATGAATGATATGAGGCAATTTTTGAAAGTATGAAAGTGTTTCAATGGGACACAAAAGATAATATTATAAGATTATTATTACATTTTAAGCAACACAGGAAGCCATTATTATTCATTCAGACAAAATGTTTGGAGAGAATCTGACAAGCAGTCTTTGAGTTAACACTGGTACAAAGATCATCTAACAACAGCAAGCTTGACAATCAGAGCCTTAACAAGATTCAGATTATTCCATTTCTGCTAATTCATCTGGGAAGGCCATGAATGTACCATCAGACTTTCTTCTGTAGCTCACCTGCTAAAGCCAAGTTCTTTTTTGTAACACCAGAGTACAGATGGCCTTGCCTTCACCACTGCCTTAGATAACATATGATGCAGTATCACCACCTGTGCAAAAATGAAACAAAGCTCATCACATCCCAACTTGACATTTCGACATACTGCCACTGGCCCAGAATTCAGTTCACTAACCCAAAATGGTACATCATTTAGGAACCTGAAGTCATATGTCATGTTAAATACAAGGTGCAAATAATTAATAGCGATATGGTTGGTTGGTTGGTTGGTTTGTTGTTTAACGCCGCACTCAGCAATATTCCAGCTATATGACGGCGGTCTGTAAATAATCGAATCTGGACCAGACAATCCAGTGATTGATATCATGAGCATCAATCTACACAATTGGGATCGATGACATGCATCAATCAAGTCAGCGAGCCTGACCACCCGATCTCGTTAGTCGCCTTTTACGACAAGCATAGTCGCCTTTTACGGCAAGCATGGGTTGCTGAAGACCTATTCTACCCCGGAATCTTCACGGGTTTAATAGCGATATGGTTCAAGAAACACTGCATTGTTCCGTGGCATGTCTCCACACAAAGTTTGCATTAATTTGAAATTTTACATTAAATTGTATATTTATATATTTATCCTATCTCACACTAAGCATTTCTTCCTTCTTCTTTCGATACTTGTGTGAAAACATCCTAAAACAAAGTTTCCAGCTTCTAAAAGTTTTTCTCCCGAACACCCCTTGCATCACCATAATCACACCCAAAGAAATAGGTCATGCACTACTATCCCGTGCATTGTGACCAAAGCGGTTTGATCACCTGACACCCTATGCCACATCATTCCCTTTCTAGAGCTGATAGGCTGGTGTACTGTGATGCAGGAATGGTCGGGTGGGCATATAACATGTGATATATAGGATAATTAATGTACTTATCCCATCTCACACAATGCATTTATTCCATTGTTGGACAGTGGGGAGCAGATACTCCAGCCTGTAGTGGCAATTTTACTATTACATGCAACATTACATTTTCGCAATCGAAATACATGTAGCATGGGAAGTCCCTACTAGTGACTAGTCAAATGGTCCAGTGCAATAGCAATCACCTGTACCAAAGTGTTACGCTTATGGGTCTTATAATTTTGAATATATATAGTAAAAGCTGCAACTAAAATAACCCGATTTAGGAATATATTATTACTGATAAAATAATAATTTCAGATACAGTTCCTTCTAACCATTGCATAAAAATTCTTTGAAGTTGGGTACTTTTTAAATGTATCACCAGTAGATTGGGAGTGAACGTGTGTATGCTATTTCTTGCATGGTTTTACGAGAAAATACACACAGTAATCTAAATCTCTGCAGGAAATACAATTAAAATCGTAAATTGCCATGTCTAGTGATATTTTATAACAAATTTCACATATTTAGTGACGAAGTTTGTTATACCTGTTCGTTCACCTCAATTCGCTCAAGGGATAGATCTATTATGTGTTTTAAAGCGCACAACACTCAATAGATGCATAGATCAAGTATAATAAATTTCAACCTATCGGGATGTAGGTCAGTGTGCCTGTGGTGGTTGATGACAAGCTAATTTTAAAATGTCTGGTTTGGACTATTTCAAATCGGACATTTTGCAGTCACAATTGGACAAGTCAGGTGCACAGACCGATTTCCGGGTACCTGGGTTAAATGCTTTACCAAGTGTGAAGACCCCTTTACACTACTGGGACACATTGCATGACATCTGGTATAACATGTATTGTGTGTTTTTAGGACATTCAGGACATGTAGGTCATTTCAAAAACGGCCGCATTGCTTTGAAGTAGGTAAACAATTCAGCCATGACTTATAACCAATTCAGAAGGGGTTTCCAAGCAATCAGTTCTACAAGACAAACCACCCCATACACTCTAAGATCATCTGTTCAGCTTGGCATCTCTTATCACACTATGCTGAAACTATCAATCATGCCAACAGGGTTGAAGCATGCTAAGAAAAGAAAAGGAAACAATCAACAACATTCATAAGAAGATCTTGAAACCAATATTGAGACATCACATAAGCAAGGCAGAAGTGAACAGGTAAGGGTTTGGGACACCGCCGAAACGTCACAACAGACGACACAAAGCAATGAGTACACTGTCTGGGAAACCCGTAGCGTACTAATGATAAACAAGCATCGAATATATGCGTTGATGATTTGTTGTTAGTTGTTGTTCCAGGACATGGTTTACACAGATATGGAACACAAAATTCAAGGCCTTTTCAAGGCTTTCAAGTGTCATTTTCAAAGCTTCTTTAGTTGGGCTCAGTCTGTCTTAGTCTCAGTTTGCCTCAGTCTGTCAATATTTTTTTAATCTAGCACACTGTATATATTAGTTGTGAGACCTAAAACGCAGTATTAAAAATCACAAATTTTCAAACCAGATTGATTTTCACAACCCCCCCCCAAAAAATAATTAAGTCTGTCATGAATTCTTCAAGACGTTTGTCAAAGTGTCAAATCTATTATCATGATAAATAACACTCAAGGAGAAACAACACTCCACCTCTCAGTCTTGTAATCACCAGAGGCCAGTTACATCAGCAACCCATCAAAGTGGGCTTTGGACCACCTCAGTGACAGCGAGGGGAAATCCCCTTGAATCATCATAATTCTTGTGAATACCTCACCTCTATCACATCAGTGCCATAAATTCCTGTTTATGCTGAGAACCACACTATAAATTTTTATAAATTTTCAACAGACGTCCACTACACTACCAACATATCCATAGTTGTGAGGGAAACCCTATCCCTTGCCAGAGGCGCCACTGCGCATGCGCAAGGCGGTTATCTAGTCGCTTCTTTCCTGTGTGTCCTGATGACAACAAGGAAATTTCTTTGTTGCACATCCGAACACGTGATTGAGTTCCACATACAAGATAGATCGTCTCAAGCTTTATAGACTACAAGCAAAGAGCAGTTCTACAAGCAGAACTGGGTATAGAAGATCGGAGTCTCTAGTAAGTAATTAGTTAAGAAAAGTGTTGTGGGATGAGATCTTCATCTCATAAGCAGACACCTGTCTGTTCGGGCTGTGGACAACACCAAGCTCCTGGGGATCCTCACCCTAGATGTCTCGCATGCAAGAAAAGCAGCTGTACACAGAAGTCAAGGTGCAGTTATTGCGAGCATCTGTCAAAAGAAAAATTTGACAAGCTCTCCAAGACATGGATCAAAAATCCCGATTATAAAACGGTCACTAGAGCATTTACATCAAGAAAACAAGTGATTAACCCCGTGGCGGCCAAAATTAATCACGGGGGTGACAAGCGAGTGTCGCGCGAGGGCGCCGTCTCACCTTATGAGGAGAAGAGACCCCGTCGCTGATCCCACTCTCCCAATAATGTTGAGGAGCAGATGCATGTTACCGGTCAAACAGAAAGTGCCTCTAACTTGCATCCGGCAACGTCTGGTACGGTCGATCATCGAGTTTGGACAGAAACTAACGATTTTCACCCTCTGTCGCGTTCCCCCTTTAACGTAAATGAGTTCACGGAAAGAATAACAAATTCAATGTCTGTTATGATTGACACACGCATGCAATCTATGTCTCGAGAAATCTCAGATCTAAAAGAATCAGTTAATCAAACCCGGCTTGGCCAATCAGGGATTGATCACGAGAGTAAACAGAGATCTAAGGCTGAATATGGCAGTACACCCTCATACAGCAGACATGTACAAGGTTAAGTTGAATCAGACTATGAGGACAGTAGGAGAATTATACTAAGAGAGCGAGAATCTCATAGATCTTCTCCCTACCAGGCACACCAAAAGGCTCATCGTGAATCACGGTCTTCACACCGCAGTATGCACAGAAATACGCAACAATCACCGTCAAGCCACTATGATAGACGCACCGACAAAGCTTGTGCATATCAGGATAGTAATCCTAAGCGTGCACCCTCTCATACTGCCACACAGTCCTGTTATGCGGGCAAAGAAAGCGAGGGAAATATGACATCACCATACAGTTATAGACCACGTGATTCCTGCACAGCTTGCCGTAAATCAGACGACCAGGATTACGATACCCTCAGCCATACGACCCACTCCCAGCCCAGCCAGAGTAGGGGGTGCCGATCTACACCTGAGTATTCAGGCTATGGGGACACTGCTATAGTGAGTGAGTATGGTTTAACGTCGCTTTTAGCAATATTCCAGCAATATCACGACGGGGGACACCAGAAATGGGCTTCACACATTGTACCCATGTCGGGAATCGAACCCGGGTCTTCGGCGTGACGAGCGAACGCTTTAACCACTAGGCTACCCGACCGCCCGACACTGCTATAGAGGAGGATTATAGATCAAACAATTTACTCCCTTAGAGACATCATAGCAGAACTTTATGAACTAATGCCCACCTTAAAACCAGATCAGGACAGTACACCCGTTAAACCCTTGATTGAACGTGCAGGATATGAGGGACCCGATAAGGGGACCAACCATTCCATACGTTTCCCCCTCCGTCATATTTGGATGACGTCATCAAGAGAACTGAAAATCAATTGAACTTTTCAGCGGGTCCTAGTGCTAAACTGAGGCCTATCTATATTAGATCTGCTTACAAAACACATGATGATCCGTTCACACTACAGCCTAGCATTGACGAAGATTACTTCGATCTGGTTAAGAAACCTAACCCCAATATGCGCATTGATATGTCCAAGATCAAGAGCTTAGATAAGGTCAATAAACAAATGATTAATAGTAGTAATAGTATACTTCCACTGGAGCCAGATTTATTACCTATACTGCTACTACAGGGGGGATTTTTTATGCCAAAATGATTATGCGATTTAACGATAGTCATGAGATTAAGTTAAATTGACCACCACCTGGAGTCTATGATATAAATTTTTATAGGTAATGATGGTTCTGGACCACTTCCACTGGAGCCGGATTTATATACCTATACTGCTACTACAGGTGGCATTTTTTATGCCACAATGATTATGCGATTCAACGATAGTCATGAGATTGGCTCTAGCTCACCAATACCTGGGGCCAATCATTGCTTTAGATGAGTCTAAATGGT